TATAATACAATATTCGAAAATCAGACCAGAACGGCCGGTTAGATGGTCGACCAGGTTTCGTTAACACACCAGTCATTAATACAATAAATCGAATTGTTGTTTAAACCGTTTTAAACCGTGGATTGGATGGTGGAACAATGTCAGCCGCCGGTCCAATCGACCTGACAGCAAATCCGGTGAAAATGAACTATTAAATATCATCGAACACCTTATCTAACAGTAGAAATATGTTTGGAAGGGTATTTTGGTCTATCCATTAAAATTGGGTTTAAATACTTCATTTTTTTTTTTTTCGTGTTGGGTTATTTTAAAAACTCCAATGAAAATGTGAGGTTCTTTCAAACACCTACATAAAAAGTTAAAAATTCATATAACCAACTTATAATCATAGTTGTTCAAAACTCTTACTATATTTAAAATTTAAAAAAAATATATATACAACAATAAGATGATTATATAATAATAATAAAAAAAATAGAAAATAGTTACTATCATTTTGCCAATGTTCTGAAAACCAGACAGGAGGCAGTCTGACCAAAACCGACAGCCATCTCCGTTTGGTTCAGGTTCTAGGGTTTTTGTTATATTTTAAACTTGTAGGGTACTTATTTTTGTAGGGGTGTTTTGAAGTATTTCAAACCGCTAGGGAGCAGAAGTTTTTGGGATTTTTGAAATATATTAAATTTTATTAGGGAGATTTTGCAATATACAAAAGTAAAGACTAATTAAATTATGATTTTTTGTGCTACGGTCCATCCATGAACCAGGATTTTGACCGGGTCAAGGCGTCCAGTTTTCTAAACATTGGTTCTGACCAAGATCATACTCTCTGAGTCTGTACTCTGTAGACTTGAAAGTTGAAAGTTGAAACCTTGTCAACAAGGATGATCTTCCTGTTCATCTTCAAAACTTTCTCAAAGTGAGTGGAACGATAGTGAACATGTGTCCAGCGGAATTTTCACTCCGACCTCCTTTACAAGTGCAAAACGTGGTCTGATTCTCTGTCCAAACTGTAACTAAATACTGACGGACACTTAACCAGCTCAGATTTGAATAACCCATTGTTTAATAGAATTCCATTTCGGTATCAGTTCTCCGGCAAGCTAGGTTTTTATTTTAGTTTCAGTTGGGTTCTTGAAGATGGCAATGAAGACCCTTTCTGGAAGCCGCTCTTTTGACACCGTATCTCTCTGCAGAGGAGCTTTCTACATCACTAGGTATTTTTTTAATTAATTAATTAATTTTTTTTTTCGTTCCAAAAGCATTAATTTTTATTTCATACTATTATGAAGGCGTATTGTTAAGTTTTAGGAGAGACTCGAAGTGGAAAGTTACAGTGTATTAGGTTGCATGTTAAAGAGGAAAAACATTTACTCTGTTACAGTGTGTGAGTGTGTGGTGAATTTGTGATTTTTCTAATCACAATTTTGAGTTTCATTTTAGAAGATTAGTCAAACAGAATATCGAAATCTCGTGTACTTTTTTACTTGTATAGACTTCATTTTTTGTTCTGTATCCATGAGGGATAGGGCATTGATGATTTCATTTGTTCTTCTACAGGACTTGACTTACTTCTCCTGAGGAATTCTTCTCTTGCCGCGGAATAAGTGTTTCTAGTGAGTATCTGACCTCTTACAAAAGCTAAATTACAGATATTAACATGTTCTTTCCTCTTTGTGGTGTAACTTGATGGTGTTTTGATATAGGAACAGCTGATTCTCGTGCAAATGAATCATTCAACTCAAGAGTGCATTCCAACACTGTAGTAGCTGAGGAAAAAGAAGCCAAGTCTGTTTTAAGCTTGTTCTTGATGCAGCAAGGAGCTGCCGCAAGAACCATCAATAATAGATCACATTCATCGACCACCTATCTCAGGCTTCATCTCTGTCATAAATCTCGGTATCTTGTAGGTCCGGTTGCAACATGTAGTTTTTCTTTTTGGAACTTTATTTCAGTGTCTTGTTCCCATGTTAATCAGTTTTATTTGTTATTGCAGGAAGAGAGCTCACAACTCTTGAGATTAGGGACACCCTTAATCCTTATCTTCAATCACTTCTTGAAGGGCATGGAAATTTTATGGTAGATTTAGTGAACAACTTTCTACCACACCTATCGAAGAAAAGCTTAAGCTGTGCTAGTTTGTAGATCCCATTCCAGCCTTGATCCAAGAAGCCAGAAGCATTCTCTCATGTAAGCGCCACAAGTCCAATAGCAGATCTATGCCCTCAACTGTGCTACCTCTTAGAGCTTGGCATGGATCTTGAGCAGATCAAGTAGCTACACACAGATATCCTAATTTTGCCTACTGCAGCTTGGAGGGCAAAATCAAACCACTAGTTGAGTTTCTTCTTGATCTTGGGGTACCTAAATCAGACATTCCTACTATTATCAGAAAAATGCCTTCTTTATGTGGACATAGTCTATCTGAAAAAATAATACCCAGCATAATATACTTTGAAGATTTGGGTGTGGGCAAAAGTTATATGTCGCTGCCCTGGACTCCTCTGTCACATTAGGCAGAGAAGGTTCAGACAGTAGTTAATTTCCTTCATGAGTTGGGCTTATCAGGTGATAGCATAGGTAAGGTCTTCACTCAGTTGCCAAGAATTGAACTTGCAGTGTGGAAGACTATCTCAAGCCTTTGAACTATTTTTTCTATAAATGGGGATTCAGTGTGGAAGAAGTGAGGTCCATGGTGTCAACATTTCCATCTGTATATTACAGCTTGATACCGAAATGGGAGTTCTTTTTTACCATGGGTTATTTAAAGTTGGCGTTGTTTAAGTTCCCTCAGTATTTTAGTTACGGTTTGGAACAGAGAATCAGACCACATTTTGCACTTGTCAAGGAGTTAGGAGTGAAAATCGGGGTGGATGGCATGTTAGTACGATCACACTGTGACTTTGAGAAAGTTTTGAAGATGAACAGGAAGAACATCCTTGTTGACAATTGTTCTCTAAAATTTTAATTTATTTAAAAAATGCCCCAAAAATTACAATTAGTCTCTAAAATTTTGAAATATTACAAAGTACCCCTAGAAAGTTTCAACTGGTCCCTACAACCTTGAAAAAAAAAAAAAGAAACCCCCCTGGAACCTGAACCAGACCAGAGAGGCTGTCGGGTCCCAGTCCGGTCCGGGTTTTAAAACAGTGATAAGATCAATTACTTTTTCATATTAAAGTGAAATGATTTTTATAAGGTTTTAGAGTAATTGATATTTGAGAATATCAAAGAACAAAAGTTATATCAATTGCAAATATCATTGCCCAGCCAATTGATCAGCATGAATAGATAAACTTGAGCTGATACCGGTGTCATCATTGTTGAAGTAAGAACCATTCCAAAATTTTCTCATATATAGCTTTTGCATTCTGAAATTTGCACCAGAAATAATCCTCACAACTCTTGTCACAAACTTCAGGTGCAAATACTGATGCCGCCTGCAATGCTGCCCATAGGCCTCCACCTTACGCACTCACACTAGAGACATACGTCTGATCTGGGAAGCCATTATTATCAATCATCACATCACCATCCCTATCAAATTTTGGTTCATATATATCATCACAACATAAACTGAGGGCGAAACAGGTTGCTGGTTATGAAACTATGCTATATTTGAATTTAAGCTTTTACTGAATTACAAGTATGACGTTTTATATTATAAGTCTCTCGTTAAAACTTAAAAATATTTTATATCAGAAAACATGCATGTTTTGGATAATGGGAATGTAGATTTGATATCTTCACTGCATTTAAACAGCACAGGTTATGAATATTATATCAAATATAGGGGGGCTTGGTAATTGTTATTTGGGAGATATTTGAGGGCAATTGTGTTCAAAATAGCTTTTAATTAAGGGCAAAATAGATAGAAAAATTAGATTGCTTTAATAATATTTTAATAACATCTTCTAATAAGGTAATAAGATTATCCCTATATTACTAATAATAAACACTATTTATAATAAAAGATTACCGTAATATTTTAGTACTTACAAACTAAATACAAGAATCTTGCAAAATAAACGAAGATTACTCCCTTATCTTATATACCCCCAATTCAAACCTCCCCTAAGGGGTGTTTTAGGGTGCGTTTGGCTCCCTATTTTTATCCATATTCTCAATCTTATTCTCCAAATAATGTTTGGCACATTATTCTAGAAATATTACCCTATTTTTTAATTACTTTTAGACCCCATAAGGTTATTAATTTCACAAAATACCCCCTGAAAAAAGTTTAAAAATTAACAAAAACACCCCCATCAACCCAACTTGTCAGATTCCGGCAACCACCGTCGGTGATAGTCAGAATTTGTACAACGGCCTAACTTCAGACCAGAAATGGCCGAAAGTTCACCGATCTGGCCGTCAGTGATGGCCAAAGAAATGGCCGTCGTTGACCGAAAACGACAGCCACATCTTTGGCCGTCGCTGACGGCCAAAGATGGCCATCGTTTTGGCCTTTTTCGGCCGTCAACGGCCATAGCAGGCAGTAGATCTGGCCTTTTCCGGCCAGATCCGTGGTATATCTGGCCGGAAAAGGCCATAACGACGTGTTATGGCACAGATACGACCAGTCTGTGCCGTAACGAAATTTTTCGATCAGATTCCGGAGGTGGTGGCTCAAATTTGGCACTGCAGGTGGTGGGGGTGTTTTTGTCATTTTATATATTAGAGTCTTTAATTAAATTAGTAAACCTAAGGGTTTTTTCATAAATTTTTAAAATTTACCTCGTAATACTCCCCTATCCAACAACCCAATACTGTCCCCAAAATCCTATCCAAAATACTAAACCAAACGTACCCTTAGATGTTCCATTGATAGTCATAGTAAAATACCAAAATCAACCCAAAATAAAATAAGATACAATAAAGTCCTCCATGACTTCGATCATTACAGTATCAACCCTAGAAATAAAATATATTATAAACCCTAGAAATAAAATATAATATAATCCTAAAATTACCACCAAACATTGATAAAGTTCCTCAATACTCACAAAGTGAGAGAATCTGAGAAAAAGTGAAGTGAAGGGCTTCGCAGCTGATGACTAGATTCCATATTGCTCCATGCTGGTAAGATCTACATTCTTTATTTGCATCTTCAATTTTTTTTAATACTTCAAATATAAATCTGTAAGCAAATTGGCTTGAAGTTGAGTTGAGCTAAATATTTTCGGTTCCTTTTCGTCAACTGTATTGACTACTGCTATTTTGTATCTGGGTTTGTTTTTTCTTTAAATTTCATGGACATTCCTTTGATCAAAAGGAGTTCTTTATGTTTTTCCTCTTAAATGTGAACTGGGAAGGAAAACTTTACATTGGTTTGTGTAAAAGATTGATTTTTTAAGGGGGTTGAAGAGTGATACTATTTAGCAATGTCAGAATTGATAATGGTAACATTTATGAACAATGCAATGTATGTTACTGAAATGATATTTTTGTAAAAAATTATCTGTTCTTGTACAAATTTGATGATTTTGCATATTCTAAGGTCGATTAATTCAGGTTACAGTGTGGTGACTTGTTTCGCATGGTAATCTATTCTTGTTGTTAGATATGTTTGAGTGGTGGGAATATTGGTGGATGTTATTTAATGTGGTTGATTATTTACGAATGTAATCGTTAACGTGGATATGGAATATATAAGTTGACTTGTATTTGTACACTGGTCTTGTACTGATAAAAGTTTCCGTTTACCTTCTTGAAGATGGAAATGAAAGCCCTTTGTGCAAACCGCTTGTCCAATTTTTCATCTCTCTTTAGAGGAACTCTTTGCATCACGAGGTACTGGTTTTTTTTTCCTTTAATTTCCATTTCTGTCTTCAGTTTTTAAAATTACTGTTACAGAAAAGCAGAAATCTTTGTTCCTGTTGTTCTTTTGTTCATATGTTTTTGGGGTGAATGATAACATGGGTGCTACTATGTTAAATTATATTCCAACTCAGTTTTATTTATTTATCTAGAGAAGGGGAAAGGGAAAGGGAAAAGGATTGGTAATGCTAAGTTAAACCACAAAGAAGCTTCATTTTAAGATCTTGCTTAAGTTATTTGGTCAAAAAGGAAATTGCTTATTCTGTGCTATCACTTTTTTTTTTTTTTTTTTTTAAATACCGATATTTGTTCTGTTTTTATTTTTCTTAGCTCGAGCATTGACATCCTTTTATTCTTCTGCAGGACTCGACTTACTTTTCCTGAGAATCTCTTGGGCCAAGCAAAGCTTGGTAAGCTTGCTGTTCTTCTTGTAGTATAACATTCATATAGAAGCTAAACTTATCCGTATTTACATGTTCTTGTACTCCTTTTAGTATTAACACCATGTTGTGATATGAAAGCAGCTTTTTCTTCTGGAAATGAATCATTCAACACCACAGTAGTGCCTCCAACCCTGTTAGCTGCTGAAAAAGAAGAAGCCAAATCTGTGTTATCCTTGTTCTTGAAGAAACAAGGTCTGAGCAAGGTAGCTGCTGCAAAAACCATCACTAAATCAGATCTTTTCATCAACCACCTTGTCTCAAGGCTTCATTCTGTTCATAAATCTCGGTATCTTGTAGGTTCGATTGCAATAAGTACTGGTTATTTTTGGCTATTGTTTTCTAAGTGTTTTTTTTTTTTTTTTTTTTCTAATTCTTATTTTTCCAACCAGTCAAAATTTGCTTGTTATACAGGAAAAGAGCTCACAACTCTTGAGATCAGGGATACCCTTATTCCTTATATTGAATCTCTTCTTGTAGAGCCTGGAAACAGTGTCGTAAATTTAGTGGAGAACTTTCCTATTATACCTGTCAAAGACAAGCCAGCTGCGTCAGTCTCTCAACACCCTTCCACCCCTGACTCCAAGAAGCCAAAAGGGGTCTCTAATGCTCCTGTTAAAGAAAAGACTGTTTCTCAATCCTTTTCTGCTCCCCTTGACTTCAAGAAGCCAACGGTTGTCTCTAATGGACCTAGAGAAGAAAAGCCAGCCGTGTCAGTTTCTCAATCTGGTTCTTCTCTTGACTCTAACAAGCAAAGGGCTGTCTCTCGAATGATTGAGGTTGGCGCGGTTGGAGATTTACAACCTCATTTCCTCTACCTCTTAGAGCTTGGCATGGATCTTGAGCAGATCAAGTTAGCTACAAGCAGATGTCCTAGTTTTGCCTACTACTGCTTGGAGGGGAGAATCAAACCTCTAGTCGAGTTTCTTCTTGATCTTGGGGTAGCTAAATCAGAGATTCCTAAAATTCTTGTCCAAAGGCCTCATTTATGTGGACATAGTATATCTGGTAAAATTATACCCATCATGTTATACTTAGAAGATATGGGTGTGGACAAGAAACAGTGGGCAAAAGTTATATTACGCAGCCCATGTCTCCTCAGTCATAGTAGGCAGAAGCTTCAGGCAGTTGTTAATTTCCTTAATGAGGTTGGCTTATCAGGTGATAGCATAGGTAAGGCCTTAACTCGCTTCCCAAAAATGGTATCTTGCAGTGTGGAAGACAATCTGATGCCTGTGAACAAATTTTTCTATGAAAAGGGATTCAGTGTGGAAGAAATGAAGTCCATGGTGTCAACATTTCCATCTGTATATTCTTACAGCTTGACGGAGAGCTTGGTACCAAAATGGGAGTTCTTTTTGACCACGGGTTATTCAAAGTTGGCGCTGGTTAAGTTCCCTCAGTATTTTAGTTACAGTTTGGAGCAAAGAATCAGACCACGTTTTGCACTTGTGAAGGAGTTGGGAGTGAAAATCGGGCTGAACCGCATGTTAGCTGTATCGTTCTGTGACTTTGAGAAAGTTTTGGAGATCAGCAGAAAGAATATGCTTGCTGACGAGCTTTCGAGTTGTCCAAAGAGCAAGTAATGATCTTCGGTTAGGAACTGGATTCTATGACTTCTAAGCGGAGTGCTCAGTAGAACGAGGCATGGTAATGGTACAACTACGTGATCAGAACTGTATTTTATTACTTTACTAATTACTAGGGCATTTCTTTGCACTGTTTTGAAGAATAAGAAACATTTGAAGCACAAAGGCAAGCGAATTTTCAGGCTATGACTTTGGGAAAATTTTGAAGATGGTTACCACATGTGACAATGTGATATGACTCCTAGTCACGAGAAAAACAAATTTATATGAGACTGTCTCATCGTATCATCCGTTCAATGAGATAGTCTCACCAAATCACTACATTGACGTGAAAGTATTATCTAATTAAAATATGTAGTATCATATGAAATTTAAGGGTCGTAAAAGAACCATTGTTTCCTTCTTTCTTAGATTTTTCCAGTATTTTTGCCTTTCTTCAAGTGTAATGCATGGAGTTCATTGTTTTTTATTTACTTCACTACAAGAGAAGACCGTGAAACGAAAGATGATTTTACATTATCTAGACAAAAGCATAAACAAACATAGCCTAATTATCTAGAATTTTAGAAGAATCTCTTGCATTGATATGAAAAAAATTAAACAAATTAACGAATAAGATTTAAAGAATAAGAAAGGCTTTACCTTTATACTGTTTTTAATGAGATCGAATTGAGAATCTATTGAAGGATGAAGCAAAGAGAAATCCAGGTAATTAACATAATGCCACTAGCGTTGATCGAAAATAGGAAAATCCATAGAACCCCCATTTGTTTATAAATCTTTCAATCTTAACCTTATTCCCTATTCCCTTATGCCATTGCGTTAAATTGATGTTTGTACTTTGTAGGGTAAAATTAGAGTTTCACAAAAATTTACATGTTCTTGTACTCTTCTTAGTATTAACATCGTGTTGTGATATAAAAACAACTTTTTCTTTTGGAAATGAATCATTCAACTCCATAGTAGTGCCTCCAACCCTGTTAGCAGCTGAAAAAGAAGAAGCCAAATCTGTGTTATCTTTGTTCTAGAAGAAACAGGGTCTGAGCAAGGTAGCTGTTGCAAAAACCATCACTAAATCAGATTGTTTCATCGACCACCTTGTCTTAAGGCTTCATTCTGTTCATAAATCTCGATATCTTGTAGGTTCGATTGCAATATGTACTGGTTATTTTTGGCTATTGTTTTCTACGTGTTTTTGTTTCTAATTCTGATTTTTCCCACTAATCAAAATTTGCTTGCCATACAGTAAGAGAGCTCACTACTCTTGAGATCAGGGCCACTGATGAGCAACTAGGGAGGCTGGTCTACCGTAGGAAGGGTAGAGGTGAGAAGTAGAGGAATATTTGTTATGCAAGAGGTTAGGACTTGTTGTGGGAGGACAGGTGGCTTAATGAGATTGGATGGAAGAAGAATTCGGTTAGGAGCAAAAAGGTGTCAGGGAATAAAAGGGAGGGAGAGAAGGAATTGAGGATATTCAGAAAAGAAGGTTAAGGCTTAGAAGGGGAGGTGACTGATCCTCGAAGTTCAGTCTTATCTTTATTTGTTTCTTTATTGTACTTAGCATTATTCTTAATTGTTACTTGTTCATTGGGTTGATGATAGAACATGATCTTTGGATGTATTGTTCTATTTTGATATCAATATAGAGAGTTATTTCCTTTTCTTGTCTGTGACTATTGATTATGAACTGAAATTGGATAGAATTGTCTTGTGTTACTTGGTGAATTGCTGGTCAGTGTTCTATCAAGTGGTATTAGAGCACTAGTTTTTGGGTAATTGTCGTGACAAGAATGGATTCTAGAATGGATAATGTTGAGAGAGAAGTTACAAAGTTAGGAGTTGAAATGAGTACTATCCGAGAGTGTTTGGTTGAGATACAATCCTAGGTGCAAAGAAAGGACGAAGAAGAAGCTGGCAGAACAGAGATGCGCTCATCGGAAAATGTTCGCTCTCACCAAGTAGAAAATCCTAATAGAGCTAGTGGGTCTGGTAATAGTAGCCAAAATGGTAGTAAAATGGGAGGACGAAAATTGGAAATGCCAATATTTTCCAGCGAGGACCCTTACGGATGGATTTTTAGAGTAGAGCATTACTTCAACCTTAAGGAAATATCTGAAGAAGGGAAACTGACAATGATGGTTGTCTATGTGGAAAGTGAGGCCATAAACTGGTTCCAGAACTCCAACAAATTCGTGGGCCATGTTTCAACTTGCACTACTCTAGAGGTGTAGTGGATCATATGAGCATAATCTTTATGAGTCCTTAATGACGATGAAACATACTGGTTCAGTGGCCGAATTTCGTTGGCAGTTTGAAGTGATGGCTACACTTTTGGTAAAGGTGAAGGAAGAAATATTACAGGCTGCTTTTGTTAATGGGCTGAAGATTGAGATTAGAGCTGAAGTTCGTTTAGCCTAACCCAACTCTCTAATTCAAATAATTGAATTGGCCCAAAGAATAGAGGACATAAATCAGGCCTTAGAGGAAGCCCGATTAGGAGCAAATAAACTTACACGCGTGAATGCTCCTCGGTTTTCATACGGGTTCAACACCCATGGATCTAGAAATCTGACCCGACCCATTGATAACTAAAAATTCCCAAATGCATCAGAATCCCCAAAATCGACCCATATTTCCAATTTCAGTCGACAAACACATGAATCTTCAATACAGAGTTCGTCGACCAATTACTCCCCACGTGACCAACTACTGTCATCTTTTCGACCCTTTGAGTGAACGACTTTTTAATGAAAAGAGTTCCCATTTTGAAGGATGATAGACGTAGGAATTCAAAAGAAAAAAGAGAAGGGCCTTTGTTTTAGATGCGATGGTAAGTTCTTTCTTGGATACAAGTGTGGTGAAAAACAGTTCTAAATCATCTTAATTGATGAAGAGGAAGATGAACCAGACTCGATTGGTGGTGGAGAAACAGTCGAACCTGAGATTGAGCGACAACAGGAAAATGTCGAACTCTTTCTTAGCTCAGTGCTGGGGATCAATGGTCGAAAGACAATGAAGCTTAAAGGGTAAGGAATTGATTGTATTGATTGATAGTGGGGCTTCCCACAATTTTATCAGTTCTGAGGTGGTTAAAAGGTTGGGAATATCGGTAGTAGGAACTCAGTCTTTTGGGGTCAGAGTGGGTGATGGGTATGGCGTGAGGTGTGAAGGAGAGTGTAGAGATGTTTGTATGGAGCTACAAGGGGTTACAATCGTTCAAAACTTCTTTCCAATTGACATGAGTAGTGTTGATGCTATTCTGGGAATTGCATGGCTGGAGTTTGGAGACATTAGGTGAGACAATCACTAATTAGAGAAAGCAAACAATGGGGTTTAAATTAGGAGACCAGACAGTTAGTCTGTGTGGGGATCCATCACTTAACAAAACCATGGTGTCTCTCAAAGCTATGATTAAGGCATTGCAATGTGAAGGGTAGGGTTGTTTGATAGAGTTTGGACATATTCAGACACAGTGTATTCAGACACAGTGTGAAGGAAATGAGGATATTGATGATCGATTGCTGGATGTGTTGGAGAAATTTAGTCAAGTTTTTGATCCACTTCCTGGGTTACCATCTGCCAGGTCGAGAGACCACACCATTCAATTAGTTCCAGGAACTCAACAACCAAACCTTAGACCGTATAGGTACCCTTACTATCAGAAAAACGAGATAGAGCGCATTGTCAAGGAAATGTTGGCCTCTGGAATTATAAAGCCGAGCATTGGTCCATTCTCAAGTCCTATTTTATTGGTGAAGAAGAAGGATGAGGGGTGGAGATTTTGTGTGGATTATAGGGCAGTTAACAAGGTGACAATTCCGGACAAATATTCGATTCTAGCTATTGACGAGTTATTTGATGAGTTAGAAGGGGCAACCGTGTTTTCTAAGCTCGATTTGAAGTCAGGCTATCATCAAATCAGAGTTAAACCAGAGGACACACACAAAACAGCTTTTCGAACACACGAAAGGCATTATGAATTTCTAGTTATGCCCTTCGGCCTAACCAATGCACCAGCCACCTTTCAAGCAGTAATGAATCTTCAAGCCGTATTTAAGGAAGTTTTTGTTAGTTTTCTTTGATGACATACTGATTTACAGTAGGGAGATGGGCGAGCATGCTAGGCATCTAAGCATTATCTTACAGATACTATTAGATAATCAGTTGGTGGTCAATAAGAAGAAATGCTATTTCGGACAACAACAGTTAGAATATTTGGGGCATGTGGTCTCAGCTAAAGGAGTGGTAGTTGACCCCTCAAAGATAAAGAGCATTACTAAGTGGCTGGAACCAAGAGACATTAGGGCACTCAAAGGCTTTCTGGGTTTGACGGGATATTATCGACGATTTGTTCGAGATTATGGGAAGATAGCCCTCCCACTCACTGCTCTATTAAAGAAGGATTCATTTGTGTGGAGTACAGTAGCTCAAAGTGCTTTTGAAGAATTAAAAAGACTTATGACAACTGTTCCAGTCCTCTAAATGCCTAATTTCACTCAAAGAATTTATCATAGAGACTGATGCTTTCGGAAGTGGTTTAAGGGCTATGTTGATGTAGAAGGGGCAACCTATTGCCTTTCTCAGCAAAGGTTTGTCTCTAAACTCCAAACTGAAATCTTTTTATAAACGTGAATTAATGGCTATAGCTATGGTTGTGCGAAAATGGTGCCATTATCTTTTGGGAATACGTTTTGTTTTTCGGACAGATTAGCAAAGTCTTCACTTTTTAACTGACCAGAAACTGTTGAGTGAGAATCAGCAAAAATGAATTATCAAGTTATTGGGGTTAGATTTTATAATTCAGTATAAACCTCAGCCATAGAACAAGGTAGTAGATGCTCTCTCTACAATGCCTGAAGTTGTAGAGCATCATGCTCTTTCTATGAGCTGTTTCTTGGGTCTAACCAGTTTAGAAGATGCCATTCAGCAAGATGACAGGTTACGCAGGATCATGCAACAACTTTTGATCGACCCAAATAGCCATCCTCATTTCAGATTGGTGGGACGACATCTACTGTACCATGACAAGCTGGTGGTGCCTAAATCTAGACCTCATATCCAAGAAATATTACATGAGTTTCATGCCTCGCCCATTAGGGGCCATTTGGGTTTCTTTTGGACATATAAACACATCACAAATGTGGTGTTTTGGGAGGGGATGAAGAAAGATATTAAGGAGTTTGTGGACGCTTGCACCATTTGCAAACAAAACAAATACAACGCCTTGAGCCCAACGGGTTTGCTTCAGCCACTGCCTATTCCTAACCAAGTGTGGGAAGATGTCTCTATGGACTTTATCATGGGGCTTCCCAAGGGTCATGGGGTACATACAATTCTGGTAGTTGTTGATCGTCTTACAAAATAGAGCCATTTTTTAACTCTCAAGCATTCTTACACAGCTAAAGTGGTAGCTGATCTGTTTATCAAAGAGGTGGTACGACTGCATAGGTTTCCCTGCACCATTGTTTCAGATCGGGATAGAGTTTTCATGAGCCACTTTTGGGGAGAATCATTTAAACAGTCAAACACCCAATTGCACATGAGTTCAGCTTACCACCAGCAAACGGATGGTCAAACCAAGGTGGTAAACCACTGCTTGGAGACGTACCTCAGGTGCTTTGTCAATAGCCAACCCCAACAATGGCAGAGATGGGTTCTGTGGATGGAGTTTTGGTTCAACACCACTTATAGTAGCTCCACAGGTATGTGTCCATTTAAGGCTTTCTATGGTCGGGACCCTCCAACGGTATTACGGTATGCGGACCACACTTCTTTAGTTGAAGAAGTCAACCAACAACTCCAACAACGCAACAATATCATCGAGGAGTTAAAGGAGAATCTCCTCAAGGCTCAAAACCGAGTGAAGATTTATGCTGATAACTGATGGCAAGAAGTTACGTTTGGGATAGGGGAATCTGTGTATTTAAAGTTACAACTCTACAGCTTAAGATCTCTAGCTCATCAGTATAATGAGAAACTTAGTCCGCGATTTTACAGCCCATTTGTGATCACAGACATAATTGGGGTAGTAGTATACAGGCTGGAATTACCTTCCTCAGCTCGTATTCATGACGTTTTCCATGTTTCGCAATTGAAAAGGGCAACTTTCCTAATCCCCAATAGTCAACCTCTACCGGCAGCCTTTAATGAAGATTTTATTTTGCAAATTGAACCTGAAGCCATACTCAAGAAAAGAAAGCTCTTGAATGGACAATGGGAGGTACCAATTCAATGGAAAGGCTTACCTCCTTATGAAAACACTTGGGAGGATTTTGACACTATTCACTCTCAATTTCCTTCTTTCCACCTTGAGGACAAGGTGGTTCTCCTTGGGGAGGGTAATGATGAGCAACTAGGGAGGCTGGTCTACCGTAGGAAGGGTAGAGGTGAGAAGTAGAGGAATATTTGTTGTGCAGGAGGTTAGGACTTGTTGTGGGAGGACAAGTGGCCTAATGAGATTGGATGGAAGAAGAATTCGGTTAGGAGCAAAAAGGTGTTAGGGAATAAAAGGGAGGGAGAGAAGGAATTGAGGATATTCAGAAAAGAAGGGTAAGGTTTGGAAGGGGAGGTGACTGGCCCCGAAATTCATACTTATATTTATTTGTTTCTTTACTGCACTTAGTATTATTCTCAATTTTTACTTGTTCATTGGGTTGATGTAGAACATGATCTCTGGATGTATTGTTCTATTTTGATATCAATATAGAGAGTTATTTCCTTTTCTTGTCCGTGACTATTGATTGTGAACTGGTATTGGATAGAATTGTCTTGTGTTACTTGGTGAATTGCAGGTCAGTGGTCTATCCTTATATTGAATCTCTTCTTGTAGTTTTTCTTTTTGGAACTTTTATCTCGGTGTCTTTGTTCCCATGCTAATCAGTTTTACTTGGAGAGCTCATAACTCTTGAGATAAGGGACACCCTTAATCCTTATCTTCAATCACTCCTTGAAGAGCATGGAAATTTTATGGTAGATTTAGTGAACAACTTTCCTACCGCACCTATCGAAGAAAAGCTAGCTTTTCCAGTTTGTAGATCCCATTCCAGCCTTGACTCCAAGAAGCCAGAAGCATTCTCTCATGTCAGCGCCCCAAGTCTAGCAGCAGATCTCTGCCCTCAACTTTGCTGCCTCTCAGAGCTTGGCATGGATCTTAAGCAGATCAAGGTAGCTACACGCAGATATCCTAATTTTGCCTACTGCAGCTTGGATGGCTAAATCAAACCACTAGTTGAGTTTCTTCTTGATCTTGGGGTACCTAAATAAGAGATTCCTACCATTCTCAGAAAAATGCCTTCTTTATGTGGACATAGTCTATCTAAAAAAATAATACCCAGCATAATATACTTTGAAGGTTTGGGTGTGGACAAAAAAAAGTGGACAAAAGTTATATGTCGCTGCCCTGGACTCCTTTGTCATAGTAGGCAGAAGGTTCAAGCAGTAGTTAATTTCCTTCGTGAGTTGGGCTTATCAGGTGATAGCATAGGTAAGGTCTTAACTCGGTTCCCAAGAATTGTAACTTGCAGTGTGGAAGACTATCTCAAGCCTTTGGACTATTTTTTCTATGAAAGGGGATTGAGTGTGGAAGAAGTGAGGTCCGTGGTGTCAACATTTCCATCTGTATATTCTTACAGCTTAACAAAAAGCTTGATACCGAAATGGGAGTTCTTTTTTACCATGGGTTATTTAAAGTTGCCGCTGGTTAAGTTCCCTCAGTATTTTAGTTACAGTTTGGAACAGAGAATCAGACCACGTTTTGCACTTGTCAAGGAGTTAGGAGTGAAAATCGAGGCATGTTAGTACGATCACACTGTGACTTTGAGAAAGTTTTGAAGATGAACAGGAAGAACATCCTTGTTGACAAGGTTTCAAGTCAAACAGAGAGCAAGTAGTATGATCATAGGTCAGGAACTGGATTGTATGTCTTCTCAGTTGAGTGCTCATTTCAATGGAGCATCCCAGTGTTACAATTTTCAGACTTGACTTTAACAAGTTTGTTGGAGGTATCTTCGAGTGTCGTCCACAGCGTGGTCAGTGCTTTTCATCAAATGTTTCTCTATAATCCTTGTCTTTACAGAAGTTTTCTCTTCTGCATTACTCTTTCTTACAAGTTAGTATTCCCAGGATGCATTGAAGTGAATTCAATCATTGTTGTTTAGATGAGCCTCTCTTCCTTATCATGCAAATGTTTTTGTTGCAAATTGTTTTTCTACTCCATTGTAAATGTTAGATGTAATGGCTCTAGTACTTGTTCTTTTTTTGAAGGTAAGATTTAATATTCTGAACATTTATCTGGCAAAATGGTTCTCTGGGTGCGCAACAATTTGGCGTGCACTAAGAAGAAATAGACTGAGGGCCAAATGGCTTGTTGGTTATGAAACTTTGCTATATTTGAATTTAAGCTTTTACTAAATTACAACTATGACGTTTTATATTATAAGTCTGTCGTTAAAAATATTATATTCAACATTGTGAGTTTGATATTTTATATCAGAAAACATTTTGGATAATGAGAATGTAGACTTGAAAACTTGGTGCATCACCGCATTTAAACAACACAGGATATGAATATTATATCAGGAAAAATACTCTGTGATAGGAAGCAAGCTGGCTAATACAGAATCAAGTGTAATCAAAGATAAAACCATTGAAATGTCCAATGATAATTTTGTCTTTTCATGTTTGCTTTCTCCAGTAATGATTTTGCATATCATAGGTAAGGCCATAACTCACTTCCCAAGAACTGTAAATTGCAGTGTGGAAGACAATCTCCGGCCAACAGCCGAGTACTTAAAACGGTTGGGGGTTAATGTTGCCATCATTCTCCCCAGATTTACAGCGAGTCTTCGTCATGGTATCGAGGTCACGGAATTCAAAATCATTTTACGAGATAAAAAAACCAAAAATTCAAAGATAAAAGCATAAACAATTATAAGGGAATGAATGATTATTGTTGCTAATAGTTTGACCATCATAGAAGAGTACGTCTAATGACATCGAAGAGTGATGTGATTAGACACAAGATGATTTTTATAATCATTCAAGAGTGTTCATTAACATATTCTAACTTTATTAACGTTAACAATATAGATATACACAGTGACAAACATATCACACTCAATTATGATTTTTATAAATTAACAAAAATTCAATGACAATAAATAAAACTTATAGGTTCCAAATTATAATTTTTGATTCAGTATCTTTACATTAAGCACACTCAGTAGTTCATTTCCCTTACATAACTTAAAACCGTCACCAATAACTAAACAAATCTTAAAGGGAGGTCATAGATAGTTTATTAACTATAAGGGGTGTTTTTATATATTTCATTGATAGTCATAGTAAAATACCCAAATCAACCCAAAATAAAATAAGGCACAATCAAGTCCTCCATAACTTCGATCATTACAGTATCAACACTAGAAATAAAATATATTATATAATATAATATAAACCTAAAATTACCACCAAATATTTGATAATGTTCCTCAATCCTCACAAAGTGAGAGAATCTGAGAAAAAGGGAAGTGAAGGGCTTCGCAGCTGATGATTAGACTCTATATTGCTCCATGCTGGTAAGATCTGCATTCTTTATTTGCATCTTCAATTTTTTTTTAATACTTAAAATGTAAATCTGTAAGCAAATTGGCTTGAAGTTGAGTTGAGCTAAATATTTTCGGTTCCTTTTCGTCAGCTGTATTGACTACTGCTATTTTGTATATGGGTTTGTTTTTTCTTTAAATTTCATGGACATTCCTTTGATCAAAAGTAGTTCTTTATGTTTTTCCTCTTAAATGTGAACTGGGAAGGAAAACATTAAATTGGTTTGTGTAAAGGTTGATTTTTTAAGGGGGTTGAAGAGTGATACTATTTAGCAATGTCAGAATTGATAATGATAACATTTATGAACAATGCAATGTATGTTACTGAAATGATATTTTTGTAAAAAATTATCTGTTCTTGTACAAATTTGATGATTTTGCACATTCTAAGGTCGATTAATTCAGGTTACAGTGTGGTACTTGTTTCGTATGGTAGTCTATTCTTGTTGTTAGATATGTTTGAGTGGTGGGAATATTGATGGATGTTATTTAATGTGGTTGATTATTTATGAATGTAATCGTTAACGTGGATATGGAATATATAAGTTGACTTGTATTTATACACTGGTCTTGTACTGATAAAAGTTTCCGTTTACCTTCTTGAAGATGGAAATGAAAGCCCTTTGTGCAAACCGCTTGTCCAATTTTTCATCTCTCTTTAGAGGAACTCTTTGCATCACGAGGTACTGTTTTTTTTTTCCTTTAATTTCCATTTCTGTCTTCAGTTTTTAAAATTACTGTTACAGAAAAGCAGAAATCTTTGTTCCTGTTGTTCTTTTGTTAATATGTTTTTGGGGTGAATGATAACATGGGTGCTACTATGTTAAATTATATTCCAACTCAGTTTTATTTATTTATCTAGAGAAGGGGAAAGGGAAAGGGAAAAGGATTGGTAATGCTAAGTTAAACCACAAAGAAGCTTCATTTTAAGATCTTGCTTAAGTTATTTGGTCAAAAAGGAAATTGCTTATTCTGTGCTATCACTTTTTTTTTTTTTTTTTTTTAAATACCGATATTTGTTCTGTTTTTATTTTTCTTAGCTCGAGCATTGACATCCTTTTATTCTTCTGCAGGACTCGACTTACTTTTCCTGAGAATCTCTTGGGCCAAGCAAAGCTTGGTAAGCTTGCTGTTCTTCTTGTAGTATAACATTCATATAGAAGCTAAACTTATCCGTATTTACATGTTCTTGTACTCCTTTTAGTATTAACACCATGTTGTGATATGAAAGCAGCTTTTTCTTCTGGAAATGAATCATTCAACACCACAGTAGTGCCTCCAACCCTGTTAGCTGCTGAAAAAGAAGAAGCCAAATCTGTGTTATCCTTGTTCTTGAAGAAACAAGGTCTGAGCAAGGTAGCTGCTGCAAAAACCATCACTAAATCAGATCTTTTCATCAACCACCTTGTCTCAAGGCTTCATTCTGTTCATAAATCTCGGTATCTTGTAGGTTCGATTGCAATAAGTACTGGTTATTTTTGGCTATTGTTTTCTAAGTGTTTTTTTTTTTTTTTTTTTTCTAATTCTTATTTTTCCAACCAGTCAAAATTTGCTTGCCATACAGGAAAAGAGCTCACAACCCTTGAGATCAGGAATACCCTTATTCCTTATATTGAATCTCTTCTTGTAGAGCATGGAAACAGTGTTGTAAATTTTGTGGAGAACTTTCCTATTATACCTGTCAAAGACAAGCCAGCTGTTTCAGTCTCTCAACACCCTTCCACCCCTGACTCCAAGAAGCCAAAAGGGGTCTCTAATGCTCCTGTTAAAGAAAAGACAGTTTCTCAATCCTTTTCTGCTCCCCTTGACTTCAAGAAGCCAACGGTTGTCTCTAATGGACCTAGAGAAGAAAAGCCAGCCGTGTCAGTTTCTCAATCTGGTTCTTCTCTTGACTCTAAGAAGCAAAAGGCTGTCTCTCGAATGATTGAGGTTGGCGCGGTTGGAGATTTACAACCTCATTTCCTCTACCTCTTAGAGCTTGGCATGGATCTTGAGCAGATCAAGTTAGCTACAAGCAGATGTCCTAGTTTTGCCTACTACAGCTTGGAGGGGAGAATCAAACCACTTGTTGAGTTTCTTCTTGATCTTGGGGTAGCTAAATCAGAGATTCCTAAAATTCTTGTCCAAAGGCCTCATTTATTCGGACTTAGTATATCTGGTAAAATTATACCCATCATGTTATACTTAGAAGACATGGGTGTGGACAAGAAGCAGTGGGCAAAAGTTATATTACGCAGCCCAGGACTTCTCACTCATAGCAGGCAGAAGCTTCAGGCAGTTGTTAATTTCCTTAATGAGGTTGGCTTGTCAGGTGATAGCATAGGTAAGGCCTTAACTCGGTTCCCAAAAATTGTAACTTGCAGTGTGGAAGACAATCTGAAGCCTGTGAACAAATTTTTTTATGAAAAGGGATTCAGTGTGGAAGAAGTGAAGTCCATGGTGTCAACATTTCCATCTATATATTCTTACAGCTTGGCTGAGAGCTTGGTACCAAAATGGGAGTTCTTTTTGACCACGGGTTATTCAAAGTTGGCGCTAGTTAAGTTCCCTCAGTATTTTAGTTACAGTTTGGAGCAAAGAATCAGACCACGTTTTGCACTTGTGAAGGAGTTGGGAGTGAAAATCGGGCTGAACCGCATGTTAGCTGTATCGTTCTGTGACTTTGAGAAAGTTTTGGAGATCAGCAGAAAGAATATGCTTGCTGACGAGCTTTCGAGTTGTCCAAAGAGCAAGTAATGATCTTCGGTTAGGAACTGGATCTATGACTTCTAAGCGGAGTGCTCAGTAGAACGAGGCATGGTAATGGTACAACTACGTGATCAGAACTGTATTTTATTACTTTACTAATTACTAGGGCATTTCTTTGCACTGTTTTGAAGAATAAGAACCATTTGAGCACAAAGGCAAGCGAATTTCAGGCTATGACTTGGAAATTTTTGAAGATGGTTACCCACATGTGACAATGTGATTGACTCCTAGTCACGAGAAAACAAATTTATATGAGACTGTCTCATCGTATCATCCGTTCAATGAGATAGTCTCACCAAATCACTACATTGACGTGAAGTATTATCTAATTAAAAATGTAGTATCATATGAAATGTAAGGGTCGTAAAAGAACCATTGTTTCCTTCTTTCTTAGATTTTTAAACCTTTTTTTCTGGAGACATTTATGAAATTAATAACTTAAGAGGTCTAACAATAATTAAAAAATACAATAATATTTCTCAATAATATGCCAAACAATATTGGGAGAATAGATTGGGAATATGGGTAGAAATAATGTGCCAATACACCCCTAATTATCTAGAATTTTAGAAGAATCTCTTGCATTGATATGAAAAAAAAAAAAAAAAAAAAAACCAACAAATTAACGAATAAATGTAAGCACAAGAAAAGCTTTACCTTTATGCTGCGTTTTAATGAATCGAATTGTGCTGTGTTTTCTCTTGAAGGAGGAACAGAGAGCTTTTCTTGGGTCTGAGATCCAAAATTCTGGTAATTAACATAATCGGTAATTAATATAATGGGATTACCCTTGATCCAACGTGGGAAATTCATTATAACCCCCATTTGTTCAAAAATTTTCAATCTTAAACCTTACTCCCTATTTGCAATGCCATTATGTTAATTGATGTTTGTAGTTGTAGGGTAAATTACGGTTTCACAAAAAATTTGAGGGGATAAGTGGTTATTGTTGCTTGTAGTTTGACCATCATCAAAGAGTATGTCCAATACACTAATACTACAAATGTTAAAAGGAGGTCATAGATAGTTTATAACTATAAGGGGGTGTTTTAGACGTTTCATCGATAGTCATAGTAAATCTCAAAATCATCCCAAAACAATAGATAAGACTTCGCTAAATCCAGTGTCAACCCTAGATAGAATATATTATTACCTCCAAACATTAGACAAAACTCCTCAATCCTCACTAAGTGAGAGAAACTGAGAAAGATTGAAGTGAAGGGCTTCGCAGCTGTAGTTGGGTCCACAATTGCTCCATGCGGGTAAGATCTGCTTCTTTATTTTCATCTCCAAATTTTTCTTTAATATTTAAAATATAGATTGTATGCAAATTGGCTTGAAGTTGAGTTGAGCTAAATATTTTCAGTTCCTTTTCGTTAACATTATCACTACTGCTATTTTGTATCTGGGTTTGTTTTTTCTGTAAAATTCATGGACATTCTTTTATCAAAATGAGTTCTTTATGTTTTTCCTCTTGAATGTTAACTGGGAAGGAAATTTATATTGGTTTGTGTTTTTTCAAACGTTTATTGCTGAATTAAGAATGTAAAGATTGACATTTTATGGGGTTGAACCGTGATAATACTATTCAGGAAAGTGAGAATTGAGATGTTAACGTTTATGAGCAATGCAATTTATGTTACTGAAATGATATTTGTGTAAAAATTTATTTGTCTTGTACAAATTTGATGATTTTGCACATTCAGATTCACGTATGATGATTTGTGTCGCGTGGTGAATTATTCCTGTTGTTAGATATGTTTGAGTGGTGGGAATATTTGTGCTCGAGCATTGACGTCCTTTTATCTTCTGTAGGACTCGACTTACTTTTCCTGAGAAACCTTCTTTTTCAAGCAAAGCTTGGTAAGCATGCTGTTCTTCCAGTAGTATAACATTCATATAGAAGCTAAACTTATCCGTATTTACATGTTCTTGTAGTCTTTTAGTATTAACACCATGTTGTGATATAAAGCAGCTTTTTCTTCTGAAATGGATCATTCAACTCCGTAGTAATGCCTCCAACTCTGTTAGCACTGAAAAAGAAGCCAATCTGTGTTATCCTTGTTCTTGAAGAAACAAGGTTTGAGCAAGGTAGTTGCTGCAAAAACCATCACTAAATCAGATCTTCTCATCGACATCTTGTCTCAAGGCTTCATTCTGTTTATAAATCTCGGTATCTTGTAGGTTCGATTGCAATATTACTGGTTATTTTTGGCTATTTTTTTCTAAGTGTTTTTGTTTCTAATTCTTATTTTTCGCACTAATCAAAATTTGCTTGCTGTACAGGAAGAGAGCTCACAACTCTTGAGATCAGGGACACCCTTATTCCTTATATTGAATCTCTTCTGTAGAGCATGGAACAGTGTCGTAAATTTATGGGAACTTTCCTAATACACCTGTCAAAGACAAGCCAGCTGTGTCAGTCTGTCAACACCATTCCACCCCCAACTCAGAAGCCAAAAGGGGTCTCTAATGCAACTGCAGAGAAGGCAGCTGCGTCAGTTTCTCAATCCTTTCTGCCCCCCTTGACTCAAAAGAAGCCAAAGGTGGTCTCTAATGGACTTGGTGAAGAACGTCAGTTTCTCAATCTGGTTCTGCTTTTGACTCTAAAATGCCAAAACCTGTCTCTGAATGATTGAGGTTGGCGCAGTTGGAGATTTACGCCCTCAATTCCTCTACTTCTTAGAGCTTGGCATGGATCTTGAGCATATTAGGTAATTACACGCAGGTATCCTGATTTTGACTACTGCAGCTTGGAGGGAAAAATCAAACCGTAGTTGAGTTTTCTCTTGATCTTGGGTACCTAATCAGACATTCCTAAAATCCTCATCCAAAGGCTTTCATTGTGCTCAGTTATCTATCCGAAAATCTAATACCGACCATGATGTTCTTAGAAGATTTGGGTGTGGATAAGGACAGTGGGCGGAAGTTATATCCGCTTCCCAGGACTCCTCACTCTAGCAGGCAGAAGGTTCAGGCAATTGTTGATTTCCTCTACGAGTCGGGCCTCATCTGAGAGTATAGGTAAAATCTTGACTCGATGGCTAATTTCGTTAGTTACGTGTGGAGAGAATCTACGACCAACAGTTGAGTACTTCTGTTCATTAGGTGTGGATATCTCTGTGCTTCTTTGAAAATCAGCACAGACTCTTGGTTGTAATATTGAAGGCATTCTGAAGCCTGTGACTGAATTCTTCTTGGCAAAGGGGATAGCATGGAAGAAATTCGGACCATGATTTTGAGATATGCAGGTCTATATTCTTGTAGTTTGACAGATAACTTGATACCAAAATGGGAGTTCTATTTACCATGGGATATGAAAAATCTGAGCTGGTTAAGTTCCCTCAATTTTTAGTTACGTTTGGAGCAGAGAATAAGGCCAAGATATGTGCTTGTAGGGAGTCAGGAGTGAAATGCTGCTCACCCAAATGCTACCTCTGTCAGACTGTGACTTTGAGAAAGTTTTGAAGGTGAAAATACTGAAAATGGTTACCACCACATACTCCCTGCTACCATAGGAACTTACATAAGACAGTCTCACCATATCACCAAACTGACATATGAGAAACTATCTAGTTAAGATTTTGATGCTGAACATTCCAGTGGTACACTTGTTGATAGACAATTAATCTAATGCCAAAAAAGTCTTAGAATGTATGAAATTTAAGGTTTGCGAAAGAACTCAGTTTCCTTCTTTCAATGTAAGGTTCATACGATCGAAATGTAATTTTGTCATTACTTTTCCCAAAAAAAAAAAATATTTAAAAAACCCTATTCACATTCCAAATGTTGAGGGCTTTTGAGATAAAATCAAAGTCAGATAGGAATTAGAAGGATTTAATAAGTTATTTTTTTAAGAAAAAAAATAGATAAAAAATAATTTTCTTTAAAATTTAATTGGAGTTCTTATGCATACTGTTTATTATTTAGTATTAGTGTATCAAGCAATTTCCTTTCTCTATACTGTGTAAAGAAAAAGAAGTATATTTACCAAAAAAAAAAAAATTATAGTGCATGATATATACGTTTTGGTTTAAAAGTCTAATTACAGTGTGCTAAAAACTTGCCTACTCTATTTTCGTCCAGTCATTTTTATAAGGAAAATTAGGTTAAATTAATATATGATTATTATATATTAACCCAAAAAAAAAAAAAAAAGTTACTTCTCAGAGGAATGGTAAGCAGAGCTACGGAACCAGGCAACCAGCAGTTAATGACATTGCTAATTTATCCTTAACTCGAGCCAGAAAAATTGGGTTTGTTTCATTTTTCCATCCAACTCACATTCATCTATGTGGGTTTGTTTCTTATTTAGTTTTAATGGAGATTACTGTGATAAAAAAGAGTTCTTTATGTGTTTTTTGATTAAAAGTTTTAATTTTGAATCTGCAACAAGGTTTTTATTTTAGGTTTCAGTTTGGGTTCTCGAAGATGGCAATGAAGACCCTTTCTGGAAGCTGCTCTTCTGACCTTTCTCTCTTTAGAGGAGCTCTACGTCACTAGGTATTTTTTTAATCAATTATTATTATTTTTTGCTTCCAAAAAGCATTAATTTTTATTTTCATACTATTGCTATGAAGGCGTATTGTTAAATTTTAGGAGATTTGAAGTGGAAAGTTAGGGGAAAAAGCATTTCCTCTGTTATAGTTGTGAGTGTGCGGTGAATTTGTGATTTCTGCTAATTAAATTTTGAGTTTCATTTTAGAAGATTAGTCAAACAGAATATGATTTCTCGTATACTATTTTTCTTGTATAGACTTATCTTTTGTTTGTATCCATGAGGGATAGAGCATGATGATTTCATTTTGTTCTTCTGCAGGACTCGATTTACTTCTCCTGAGGAAGTCTTCTCTTGCAGAGGAATCGGTTTTTCTAGTAGTATTTCATCCTCTTACAAAGCTAATTAATTACGGATATTAACATGTTTCTTTCCTTTTTGTGGTATAACATGATGGTGTTTTGATGTAAGAACAGCTGATTCTTGTGTACATATCGTTCAACTCAAAGTAGATCCTTCAAGCTTTTATCAGCTGAGAAAAAAGAAGCCAAGTCTCTGTTAAGCTTGTTCTTGATGCAACAAGGTCTGAGCAAGGCAGCTGCCGCAGAACCATCAATAAATCGATCATTCATCGACCACCTTATCTCAAGGCTTCTTCTGCTCATAAATCTCGGTATCTTGTAGGTCTGGTTGCAACATGTAGTTTTTCTTTTTTGCTACTTTTATCTCGATGTTCTTTGTTCCCATGCTATCAGTTTTACTTGTTATTGCAGGAAGAGAGCTCACAACTCTTGAGATTAGGGACACCCTTAATCCTTATCTTCAATCACTCCTTAAGAGCATGGAAACTTTATGGTAGATTTAGTGAAGAACTTTCGTAACGCACCTATCGAAGGAAGCCAGCTTTGCCAGTTGTCGATCCCATTCCAGCCTTGACTCCAAGAAGCCAGAAGCAGTCTCTCATGTGAGTGCCCCAAGTCCAGCAGCAGATCCTGCCCTCAACACAGCTACCTCTTAGAGCTTGGCATGGATCTTGAGCAATCAAGTTAGCTACACGCAGATGTCCTAGTTTTGCCAACTACACCTTGGAGAGGAAAATCAAACCCTAGTAGAGTTTCTTCTTGATCTTGGGGTAGCTAAATCAGAGATTCCAAATTCTTGTCCAAAGGCCTCATTTAGTGGACATAGTATATCTGGTAAAATAATACCCATGATGTTATACTTAGAAGATATGGGTGTGGACAAGAAACAGGGGCAAAAGTTATATTCCGCAGCCCAGGACCCTCAGTCACAGCAGGCAAGCTTCAGGCAGTTGTTAATTTCCTTCATGAGTTGCTTATCAGGTGATAGTGTAGGTAAGGTCTTAACTCGGTTCCCAAGAATTGTATGTTACAGTGTGAAGACAATCTCCGGCCGACAGCTGAGTACTTCAAACGGTTGGGGGTTAATGTTGCCATCGTTGTCCACAAATTTCCAGAGATTTTTGTTGTAGTATTGAGGGCCATCTCAAGCTTGTGACCAAATTTTTTCTATGAAGGGGATTCGTGTGGAAGAAGTGAGTTACATGGTGTCGAGATTTCCTAATTTATGTGGTCTCAGCTTGACGGAGAGCTTGATACCGAAATGGAGTTCTTTTTGACCATGGGTTATTCAAAATCTGAGCTGGTTAAGTTTCCCATTATTTTGGTTACAGTTTGGAACGAGAATCAGACCACGTTTTGCACTTGTGAGGAGTTGGAGTGAACTCGGGCTGAACCGCATTTAGCTGTATCGTTCTGTGACTTTGAGAAAGTTTTGAGTCAGCAGAAAGAATAGCTTGCTGACGAGCTTTCGAGTTGTCCAAAGAGCAAGTAATGATCTTCGGTTAGGAACGTATTCTATGACTTCGGTCGGTACCGTTCTCTTCAGGGACCTGTACAACGAGGACGAGAACGAGAACGAAGTACTTCTAAGAGCGAGTTTGGATCTAGTTGAAGACATCGCGGCAAGCTTCGCTAAGGATATCAGCCTACCAGCACGAGCAAAAGGTTATTCGATTCAAAGGTCAGCGAAGAGACTTCCAGGTCGGAGATCTTGTGCTAAAGGAAGTTCTCCTCGGACCAGAAACCAAGTGCGGGGTACTAGGCCTATTGGGAAGGTCCGTACCGGATCGACAAAGTGATCAACCAAGGACTACCATCTCAAAAGATTGAACGGCTCCAAGGTACCCCGCTTGGAATGCCGAGCACCTCCGGCCATACTACCAGTAATCCTGAACTCAGCTCAATTTTTGTTAATTCCTTTTTGAAGTATTACTCTATTCGCTTAAAACATTCGCATGTGTTTCTGTTCGCTGTAAGAATTTATGGGTAACACTGTGTAAATCACATTGTAAATTGACATATTTATGAGAAAACGAACTGCATTGTAAAAGAAAATATGTCTTTCATTATGTACAAAAAGTCAAGACTCGATACAATGGAACGACTCTTTAACGCTAAGGCTAGTCGGGAAGATCCTTCGAGCCAGAGCCACCTCCTGGTCGGTCCCTGGGCGACCGCGGCGGCCTGGTCATCCTCCCGGCCATGAGCCACAAGTCGCCTGCCAAGCCCGGAGGCGAGAAGTCCAAAGCAGGGTTCCTTGCACGCAGGGTGTAGATGGATCCGATCGCCCAGTCCGCGACCTTCTCCTCCATCTCCTCAGACTGATTCTGCATTTTTGCAGTCAGAGAAGCGACTCTCTCCCGACCTCTCCTGAAGCTCGGCCTAAGAGCTAACCTTTCCTGTTCGGAGGCCCCTTTGTCTTCTTCACTCGCTGAGCCCGTTCGAAGTCGCCCGCATCTCCTGGTCCTTCTCCGACCTCCTTTGAGCCGGGCGGTTGTCCTTTGAAGCTCTTTAATCTCCTCCGCAGTCGGTCGAGCTCCGCTGTATATTCTTACAGCTTGACGGAGAGCTTGATACCGAAATAGGAGTTCTTTTTTACCACGGGTTATTCAAAGTTGGCGCTGGTTAAGTTCCCTCAGTATTTTAGTTACAGTTTGGAGCAAAGAATCAGACCACGTTTTGTACTTGTCAAGGAGTTAGGAGTGAAAATCGGGCTGAACCGCATGTTAGCAGTACCGTTCTGTGACTTTGAGAAAGTTTTGGAGACGAGCAGAAATAATATGCTTGCTGACGAGCTTTCCAGTTGTCCAAAGAGCAAGTAATGATCTTCGGTTAGGAACTGGATTCTATGACTTCTAAGCGGAGTGCCCAGTAGAATGAAGCATGGTAATGGTACAACTACGTGATCAGAACTGTATTTTATTACTTTACTAATTACTAGGGCATTTCTTAGCACTTTTTTGAAGAATAAGAAACATTTGCAGCACAAAGGCAAGCGAATTTTCAGGCTATGACTTTGGGAAAATTTTGAAAGGAAAATTTTATATTGGTTTGTGTTTTTTCAAAAGTTTATTGCTGAATTAAGAATGTAAAGATTGACTTTTTAATGGGGTTGAACAGTTATGAGCAATGCAATGTATGTTACTGAAATGATATTTGTATAAAAATGTATTTGTTCTTGTACAAATTTGATGATTTTGCACATTCAGGTTACAGTGTGATGATTTGTGTCGCGTGGTGAATTATTCTTGTTGTTAGATATGTTTGAGTGGTGGGAATATTGGTGGGTGTTGAATGTGGTTGATTAGTTATGAATGTAACCATTAACTTTGATATGTAATGAAGGAGTCAGTATAAGTTGTCTTGTATTTGTACACTGGTCTTGTATTGATAAAAGTTGTTTACCTTCTTGAAGATGGAAATGAAAGCCCTTTGTGCAAGCCGCTTGTCTGGTTTTTCATCTCTCTTCAGAGGAACTCTTTGCATCAAGAGGTAGAGGTTTTTTGTCTGTCTTTAAAAGTTTCTTTAATTTCCGTTTCTGTCTTCAGTTTTGAAAATTATTGTTACAAAAAAGCAGAAATCTTTGTTCCTTTTGTTCTTTCGTTTCTATGTTTCTGGGGTGAATGATAACAGGGTCCTACTATGTTAAATTATATTCCAACTCAGTTGCATTTATTTATCTAGGGAAAGAGAAGGGGAAAAGGGAACTCAATACAATTTTAGCATAAATTAAACCATAAAGATGCTTCATTTAAGCTCTTGCTTAATTTATTTGGTCAAAAAGGAAATTGCTAATTCTGTGCTATTATATGGTGAAATCACCCTTTTTTTAATACCGATATTTCTTCTTATTTTTCTTAGCTCGAGTATTGATGTCCTTTTATTCTTCTGTAGGACTCAACTTACTTTTCCTGAGAAACTCTTCCTTTTCCAAGCAAAGCTTGGAAAGCATGCTGTTCTTCTAGTAGTATAACATTCATATAGAAGCTAAACTTATCCGGATTTACATGTTCTTGTAGTCTTTTTAGTATTAATACCATGTTATGATATGAAAGCAACTTTTTCTTCTGGAAATGGATCATTCAACTCCATAGTAATGCCTCCAACTCTGTTAGCGGCTGAAAAAGAAGAAGCCAAATCTGTGTTATCCTTTTTCTTGAAGAAACAAGGTCTAAGCAAGGTAGTTGCTGCAAAAACCATCACTAAATCAGATCTTCTCATCGATCACCTTGTCTCAAGGCTTCATTCTGTTCATAAATCTCGGTGTCTTGTAGGTTCGATTGCAATATGTACTGGTTATTTTTGGCTATTTTTTTCTAAGTGTTTTTGTTTCTAATTCTTATTTTTCCCACTAATCAAAATTTGCTTGCCCTACAGGAAGAGAGCTCACAACTCCTGAGATCAGGGACATCCTTATTCCTTATATTGAATCTCTTCTTGTAGAGCATGGAAACAGTGTCGTAAATTTAGTGGAGAACTTTCCTAATACACCTGTCAAAGACAAGCCAACTGTGTCAGTCTGTCAACGCCATTCAGCCACGGGGTAACCCTGAGAAGCCAAAAGGGGTCTCTAATGCACCTGTCAGAGAAAAGGCAGCAGCATCAGTTTCTCAATCCTTTTCTGCTCCCCTTGACTCAAAGAAGCCCAAAGGTGCTCTCTAATGGACTTGGTGAAGAAAAGCCAGCAACGTCAGTTTTCAATCTGGTTCTGCTCTTGACTCTAAAAAGCCAAAATCTGTCTCTTGAATGATTGAGGTTGGTGCAGTTGGAGATTTACGCCCTCAATTCCTCTACCTCTTAGAGCTTGGCATGGATCTTGAGCAGATAAAGATAATTACACGCAGGTATCCTGATTTTGACTACTGCAGCTTGGAGAGGAAAATCAAACCAGTAGTTGAGTTTCTTCTTGATCTTGGGGTACGTAAATCAGACATTCCTTAAATCCTCATCCAAAGGCCTTCATTGTGCTCAGTTAGTCTATCTGAAAATCTAATACCGACCATGATGTTCTTAGAAGATTTGGGTGTGGACAAGGAGCAGTGGGCGAAAGTTATATACCGCTTCCCAGGACTCCTCACTTATAGCAGGCAGAAGGTTCAGGTAATTGTTGATTTCCTCTACGAGTCGGGCCTATCATCCGAGAATATAGGTAAAATCTTGACTCCATGGCCAATTATCGTTAGTTACAGCGTGGAGAAGAATCTACGACCAACAGTTGAGTACTTCCGTTCATTAGGGGTGGATGTCTCCGTGCTTCTTCGAAAATCAGCACAGACTCTTGGTTGTAATATGGAAGGCAATCTGAAGCCTGTGGCTGAATTCTTCTTGGCAAAGGGGTATAGCATGGAAGAAATTCGGACCATGATTTTGAGATATGCAGGTCTATATTCTTGTAGTTTGACAGATAACTTGATACCAAAATGGGAGTTCTATTTGACCATGGGATATGAAAAATCTGAGCTGGTTAAGTTCCCTCAATATTTTAGTTACAGTTTGGAGCAGAGAATAAGGCCAAGATATGTGCTTGTAGAGGAGTCAGGAGTGAAAATGCTGCTCACCCAAATGCTACCTCTGTCAGACTGTGACTTTGAGAAAGTTTTGACGGTGAAAATACTGAAAATGGTTACCACCACATGACTCCTCGCTACCAGAGGAACTTACATAAGACAGTCTCACCATATCACCAAACTGACATATGAGAAACTATCAAGTTAAGATATTTGATGCAGAACATTCCAGTGGTACACTTGTTGATAGACAATTAATCTAATGCCAAAAAAGTCTTAAATGTATGAAATTTAAGGGTTTACGTAAGCGAAATGGTATAATTGTCATTAACTTTTCCCCCAAAAAAAAAAAAAAAAAAAAAAATAATAATATTTGAAAAACCCTATTCACATTCAAAATGTTGGAGGGCTTTGAGATAAAATCAAAGTCAGATAGGAATTAGAAGGATTTAATAAGTTATTTTTTTAAGAAAAAAACAGAATAAAAATATATATATTTTTTATAAAATTTAATTGGAGTTCTTATACATACTGTTTATTATTTAGAATTAGGTGTAACAAGCAATTTCCTTTCTCTATAGTCTATACTGTGTAAAGAAAAAGAAGGTATATTTACCAAAAAATAATTATCACATTTTATTTTTTTAAAAGGCTCAGCATTTTTTTCTAAACAAATCTAATCAACATCACACAATTTGATGAATATATTTCTACAAACAAATATGAACTTGTTAATTATGTACTTAATTAAAAAAAAAATTATACGTTCATGATATATAATGTTAGATTATATCTGATTATAATAACCTCTCTGGTCTAATATTTAATGGTAAGGTTTAAAAGTCTAATTACAGAATGCTAAAAACTTGCCTACTCTATTTTCGTCCTTGTCATTTTTATTAAGGAAAATTAGGTTAAATTAATAAGTATGATTATACATAATAATATAACCCAAAAAAAAAAAAAAAACAGTTACTTCTCAGAGGAACTGGTAAGCAGAGAGCTACGGAACCAGGCAACCAGCGGTTAATGACATTGCTAATTTATCCTTAACTCGAGCCAAGAAAAATTGGGTTTGTTTCATTTTTCCATCACAACTCACATTCATCTATGTGGGTTTGTTTCTTATTTAGTTTTAATGGAGATTACTGTGATAAAAAAGAGTTCTTTATGTGTTTTTTGATTAAAAGTTTTAATTTTGAATCTGCAACAAGGTTTTTATTTTAGGTTTCAGTTTGGGTTCTCGAAGATGGCAATGAAGACCCTTTCTGGAAGCTGCTCTTCTGACCTTTCATCTCTCTTTAGAGGAGCTTTCTACGTCACTAGGTATTTTTTTAATCAATTATTATTATTTTTTTGCTTCCAAAAAGCATTAATTTTTATTTTCATACTATTGCTATGAAGGCGTATTGTTAAATTTTAGGAGATTTGAAGTGGAAAGTTAAGGGGAAAAAGCATTTACTCTGTTATATGTTGTGAATGTGTGGTGAATTTGTGATTTCTGCTAATTACAATTTTGAGTTTCATTTTAGAAGATTAGTCAAACAGAATATTGATTTCTCGTATACTATTTTTCTTGTATAGACTTTATCTTATGTTCTGTATCTATGAGGGATAGAGCATTGATGATTTCATTTTGTTCTTCTGCAGGACTCGATTTACTTCTCCTGAGGAAGTCTTCTCTTGCAGAGGAATCGGTTTTTCTAGTAGTATTTCATCCTTCTTACAAAAGCTAATTAATTACGGATATTAACATGTTTCTTTCCTATTTGTGGTATTAACATGATGGTGTTTTGATGTAAGAACAGCTGATTCTTGTGTACATGAATCGTTCAACTCAAGAGTAGATCCTTCAAAGCTTTTATCAGCTGAGAAAAAAGAAGCCAAGTCTCTGTTAAGCTTGTTCTTGATGCAACAAGGTCTGAGCAAGGCAGCTGCCGCACGAACCATCAATAAATCAGATCATTTCATCGACCACCTTATCTCAAGGCTTCATTCTGCTCATAAATCTCGGTATCTTGTAGGTCTGGTTGCAACATGTAGTTTTTCTTTTTTGGTACTTTTATCTCGATGTCTTTGTTCCCATGCTAATCAGTTTTACTTGTTATTGCAGGAAGAGAGCTCACAACTCTTGAGATTAGGGACACCCTAAATCCTTATCTTCAATCACTCCTTGAAGAGCATGGAAACTTTATGGTAGATTTAGTGAAGAACTTTCGTAACGCACCTATCAAAGGAAAGCCAGCATTGCCAGTTTGTCGATCCCATTCCAGCCTTGACACCAAGAAGCCAAAAGCAGTCTCTCATGTAAGTGCCCCAAGTCCAGCAGCAGATCCATGCCCTCAACACAGCTACCTCTTAGAGCTTGGCATGGATCTTGAGCAGATCAAGTTAGCTACACGCAAATATCCTAGTTTTGCCAACTACAGCTTGGAGAGGAAAATCAAACCTCTAGTAGAGTTTCTTCTTGATCTTGGGGTAGCTAAATCAGAGATTCCTAAAATTCTTGTCCAAAGGCCTCATTTATGTGGACATAGTATATCTGGTAAAATAATACCCATGATGTTATACTTAGAAGATATGGGTGTGGACAAGAAACAGTGGGCAAAAGTTATATTCCGCAGCCCAGGACTCCTCAGTCACAGCAAGCAGAAGGTTCAGGCAATTGTTAATTTCCTTCATGAGTTGGGCTTATCAGGTGATAGCATAGGTAAGGTCTTAACTCGGTTCCCAAGAATTGTATGTTACAGTGTGGAAGACAATCTCCGGCCGACAGCTGAGTACTTCAAACGGTTGGGGGTTAATGTTGCCATCGTTGTCCACAAATTTCCAGAGATTTTTTGTTGTAGTATTGAGGGCCATCTCAAGCTTGTGACCAAATTTTTCTATGAAAGGGGATTCAGTGTGGAAGAAGTGAGTTACATGGTGTTGAGATTTCCTAATTTATATGGTCTCAGCTTGACGGAGAGCTTGATACCGAAATGGGAGTTCTTTTTAACCATGGGTTATTCAAAATCTGAGCTGGTTAAGTTTCCTCATTATTTTGGTTACAGTTTGGAACAGAGAATCAGACCACGTTTTGCACTTGTCAAGGAGTTAGGACTGAAAATCGGGCTGAACTTCATGTTAACACAACCACAATGTGACTTTGAGAAAGTTTTGAAGATGAACAGGAAGAACATACCTGTTGACAAGGTTTCAAGTCATACAGAGAGCAAGTAATATGATCTTTGGTCAGGAACTGGATTGTATGGCTTCTCAGTGAAGTGCTCATTTTGATGGAGAATCCCAGTGGTACAATTTTCAGGCTTGACTTTAACAAGTTTGTTGGAGGTATCTTCGAGTGTCGTCCACAGCGTGGTTAGTCCTTTTCATCAATTGTTTCTCTATAATCCTTGTCTTTACAGAAGTTTTCTCTTCTGCATTACTCTTTCTTGCAAGTCAGTATTCCAATGACGCATGGAAGTGAATTCGGTCATTGTTGTTTAGATGAGCCTCTCTTCCTTATGCAAATTTTTTTGTTGCAAATTGTTTTTCTACTTCAATATAAATCTTAGATGTAATGGCTCTAGTACTTGTTCTATTTTTGAAGATAAGGTTAATATTCTGAACATTTATCTGACAAAATGGTTCTCTGCTTGCTCAACAAGTGATTGTTTGTTGGTTATGAAACTTGGCTATATTTGAATTTAAGCTTTTACTGAATTACAAGCGTGACGTTTTATATTATAAGTACTGTCGTTAAAAATATTACATTCAACACTGCAAGTTTGATATTTTATATCACAAACTGCATGTTTTGAGATAATGAGAATGTAGACTTACATTAAAACTTGGAGCATCACTACATTTAAACAGCACAGGTTAGGAATATTATATCAAGAAAAAACACTTTGTGATTGGAAGCAAGCTAGCTGATACAGAATCGAGTTGACATGTCTTGTTTAATGTTTGCTTTCTCCAGTAATGATTTTGCATATCAGGTGATAGCGTAGGTAAGGTCTTAACTCACTTCCCAATAAATGTAAGTTGCAGTGTGGAAGACAATCTCCAGCTGACAGCCCTAGTACTTCAAACAGTTGGGGGTGAATGTTGCCATCTTTCTTCCCAGATTTCCAGTGAGTCTTTGTCGTAGTATTGAGGTCAATGGATGCTTAGATTTTTCCAATATTTTTGCCTATTCAAGTGTAATGCATAAAATTCATTTTTTTTTTTTCTTAATTCACTATAAGAGAAAAAACCGCTAAACGAAAGATGATTTTATATTTTACAAGATAAAAAACCGGAAAATTCAAAGACAAAAGCACAAACAAACATAGCTAATAATTATCCAAAATTTTACAAGAATCTCTTGGGTTGATATTATATTAGTTACTAATCACTAAATCTTTAGCTAACAATTAAGTGTTCAATAACAACATTTGGATTGTGAGAAAACGTTTGTGAGATTGGATTGTAAATGGAGTACTGTTTATTAACACAAAAATTAAACCATACCTAAAAACAAATGTGGATAATTCAACACATGACCTCCTGCTTGGATACTTTACAATAAAATTTATCTGAAGTTGAGCTATAAATAGACAAAATTGTTAATGCATATACAGAAACAACAGTGCGATTTGAATGAAGAACAAAGCAGAGAGCTTTTTGTTGGGTCTGAGTCTTCGAGAGATTTAAAATTCCGGTAATTAATATAATGCGATTTGTGTGATCAAAAATGGGAAAATTCTAAGAACCCCCAATTCTTTATAAAATTTTCAATCTGAACCCTTACTAGTTAGTATTAGGGGTGGAAAAAACCGGTTAACCGAACCGGTTTACCCTAAAATTGAATCAAACCGGTTTTCAGTTTTTAAAAAAAATTGAATCGAAACCGGTTTGGTTTTCTTTGTAAACCGGTTGCTAATCAGATCAAAAATTCGATTCGGTTAACCGGTTTACACAAATAGGCCGGATCAAATCAGTCCAATTCAATCAAACCCTCTATTTGACCCCCTTTTTTTAGACAGGTTTATTCAAATGAGTCTGGACCATTTTAGCCCAATTACATCCATCCCTCCACCTTGGCCCATTTTTTAATTTGAATTAAAGTCATATGGTTTATTCAATTGTGTTGTCAAGTGACTGGGAAGTGGACAGATGACGGTGACAGTTGGCAGTATCGCAGGACGTAGTGAACTGAGATGAAAATTTTCAATTGAGCCTAAAATTCATTTTACTCAATAGTATCATCAAAATCTTTCGAAAACAAAGGCATAAACAACGAAAGTGAACACTGATTCACATGTCAATCACAACAGCTTGACCAAGCGACTTCACCAGCTCAATAACATAACAAATCCAAATGAAACTAACACATATTTTCAATAGTTTCTTCAAATAAACATATCCACATAATCATATATAAATCCTCACCTTCACCACGCCACGGAGCTTCACAAACTTAACCACTACACAAATTTCAAAAGATTCTCGAGAACCAAACAGAAACACAAAACACGCACTTTCAATCAATGAATTGAGATGGGCGACGGTGATTGACTGACTGGAAAGATAGGCGACGATAGCGGCAACTGGCAGTGAGCTAAAGTGTGGAATTGGTCGGCGGCACAAAATACATTTTGTGAAAAATGTGCAAAAATACCTTTTAGCTTTTACCTTTAGACTTACTGAAGTATTGAGTACTGCAAAATTTTTTTAAAATTGATAAACATAATATTATTTTTTGTATTCATTAAATCAGTTTACAAATTCAGTTTCAGTTAACTGTTTTGGTTTTTTCAAAAAACTGAAACTGAACTGAATCGTCAGTTTACAAAATATGGCAAATTGAAACCCAAAAAAACCAAATTTTCGGACCGGTTTTTGTCCCATTTTTTTTTTTTTTCCACCCCTAGTTAGGATCTACGCCTTTATGCGTTATGCAATTAACTGATTAAGCTAAATTGATGTTTGATGGGTAAAATTAGAGTTTCACAATAAACTATAAGGGGATGAGTGGTTATTGTTTCTTGTAGTTTGATGATCGTCAAAGAGTACGTTAGATTGATTCTCATCTCCTACTTAATGTAATCATGTAGAGTTTTTTAGGATAGGAGAAGTTTTTCACTAACGTTTGGTGGTAAGAAACAGCTGCGGCAACTGACGCAATTAGAAACAAATGGAGTGACCAACATATACTCCAATTACAAATTAACCAAAATTTAGTACTTTTACATTAAGCACACTCTATAATTAAATTCCCTTATGTTAGAGACGTCATCGATATCTAAACAAGAAAAAAGCTACACTCACAACCTCTTTTCATAAACTTTTTATTACAACCTCAACGTAATAGTTCGTAATTGGTTAGTTCGCAAAGAATCTTATCTAATAAATTACGACGGATCATTTACAAGTAATCATATTAGAATTATGAGAGAAAGTTTGTGAGAAGAGATTATACATATAATCTTACCGATCTAAACAAATCTTAAAAGGAGGTGATAGTAACCGGGTGTTTTGGATGTTTTATCGATAGTCACAGGCTCATAGCAAAGACCAAAAACATCCCACAAAAAGTACGGTACAATAAAGTCCTCCGGAACTTTCGATCATTTCAGTATCAATCCTAGAAATAAAATATAATAGTACCACCGAACATTTGCTAAAGTTCCTCAATCCTCACGAAGTGAGAGAACTGAGAAAGAGTGAAGTGAAGGGCTTCGCAGGTGAAGATTATACTCCACATTGCTCCGTGCTGGTAAGATCTTCAAATTTTTTTATTAATATTTAAAATATAAATCTGTATGCAAATTGGCTTGAAGTTGAGTTGAGCTAAATATTTTCAGTTCCTTTCAGTTAACTTTATTCACTACTGCTATTTTTATCTGGATTTGTTTTTTCTTTAAATTTCATGGACATTCCTTTGATCAAAATGAGTTCTTTATGTTTTTCCTTTTGAATGTTAACTGGGAAGGAGAAATTTATATTGGTTTGTGTTTTTTCAAAAGGTTATTGCTGAATTAAGAATGTAAAGGTTGACTTTTTAATGTGGTTGAAGCGTGATACTACTATTTAGGAATGTGAGAATTGATAACGGTAACGTTTATGAGCAATGCAATGCATGTTACTAAAATGATATTTGTATAAAAAATTATTTGTTCTTGTACAAATTTGATGATTTTGCACAATCTAAAATCGATTAATCCAGGTTACAGTATGATGATTTGTGTCGTGTGGTGAATCGATTCTTGTTGTTAGTTATGTTTGAGTGGTGGGAATATTGGTTTATGTTATTGAAAAGGGAACTCAATACAATTTAGCATTGTTATTGCTAAATTAAACCACAAAGAATCTTCATTTAAGCTCTTGCTTAAGTTATTTGGTCAAAAAGGAAATTTCCTATTCTCTGCTATTACATGGTAAAATCACCCCTTTTTTTAACACCGATATTTCTCCTGTTTTATTTTTCTTAAATCGAGCATTGACTTCCTTTTATTCTTCTGTAAGAGTCGAATTACTTTTCCTGAGAAACTCTTCTTTTGCCAAGCGAAGCTTGGTAAGCATGCCGTTCTTCTAGTAGTATAACATTCATATAGAAGCTAAACTTATCTGTATTTACATGTTCTTGTACTCTTTTTAGTATTAATACCATGTTGTGATATAAAAGCAGCTTTTTCTTCTGGAAATGGATCGTTCAAATCCATAGTAGTGCCTCCAACGCTGTTAGCAGCTGAAAAAGAAGAAGCCAAATCTGTGTTATTCTTGTTCTTGAACAAACAAGGTCTAAGCAGTTGCTGCAAAAACTATCATTAAATCAGATCTTCTCATTGATCACCTTCTCTCAAGGCTTCATTTTGTTCATAAATCTCAGTATCTTGTAGGTTCGATTGCAATATGTCCTGGTTATTTTTGGCTATTGTTTTCTAAGTATTTTTGTTTCTAATTCTTACTTTTCCCACCAAGAAGTAGCCAAAAGCTGTCTCTCGAATGGTTGAGATTGGTGCAGTTTGTGATTCATGCCCTCAATTCCTCTACCTCTTAGAGCTTGGCATGGATCTTGAGCAGATCAAGTTTGCTACGCGCAGATATCCTAGTTTTGCCAACTACAGCTTGGAGAGGAAAATCAAACCACTAGTTGAGTTTCTTCTTGATCTTGGGGTAGCTAAATCAGACATTCCTAAAATTCTTGTCCAAGCTCCTGATTTATGCGGACTTAGTATATCTGGTAAAATAATGCCCATCATGTTATACTTAGAAGATATGGGTGTAGACAAGGACCAGTGGGCGGAAGTTATATACCGCTTCCTGGGACTCCTCACTTATAGCAGGCAGAAGGTTCAGGCAATCGTTGAATTCCTTTATGAGTTGGGCCTATCATCCAAGAGCATAGGTAAACTCTTGACTCGATGGCCAAAGATTGTCAGTTGCAGCGTGGAGGAGAATCTACAAGCAACTGTTGAGTACTTCCGTTCATTAGGGGTTGACGTCTCCATGCTTCTTCAAAAATCACCACGGACTCTTGGTCATAGTATTGAAGGCAATCTAAAGCCTGTTACTGAATTCTTCTTGGCAAAGGGGTATAGCGTGGAAGAAGTTCGGACCATGATTTCGAGATATGCAGCTCTATCTT